AGTGCAAGATTACAACTTGATTACATAGGGAAAAGAGAATGAATATCCAGTTTGTTGAGTCAGTCCCTTGAGTCGGAATTCTCACTCCCGTGAGTGAGGTTTCATTTGTCTTTGTTTGTTTTCAGTTCTGCAGAGCCACTTGTGTGAGTGACTTTACCACCCGTGCAAGTGAGTGACACTCTGCAACTATTGTGTTCTTGTTTGTTTTCCGATTATTTGAAGTTTAACTCGTCCCTATGGGATCGACCCGACTTATCCTATCTATAGTTTAAGTTGGTAATTTATTTTGGGGTCTTCGACAACCTACCACACATATAAAAGTGGCTCTAATAAAACTCAAATTTATTACTTTCTAACTAAGAAAGGTGATAAAAAACTTTGTAAAGTTTGTACGGTGATACCGGGAGAGTGTATAATAACTCAACATAGGTTGTCGGTCATAGATCTAAGATTTAAAACTAACATATGTAAGAGGAAAATACCTAAAATACGTAGGATAAAATGGTAGAATCTTAATAACAAAGATAAAAAAGATAGGTTTACTAAAACGTTAGTTGAAAAAGTTAATTAGAACATGGAAAAAGAAGCCAATAAAACTTGGGAAAGAGTAACTAACGAACTAAGAGTAATAGCTAAAAAAGAACTAGGAATCTCAAAAGGGAATAAATGCGATAAAGAATCATGGTGGTCGAATCAAAATATTCAAGAAAAAATAAAAGAGAAAAAAGCTTGTTATAAAGCATTGTATACTTGTAGGAGCCACGACAATGTTGAAAGATATAAAAATGCTAAAAAAGAAGTGAAACAAGTCATAAATCAGGCAAAGATAAAAACTTTTGAAAACTTTTATAAAAAATTAGATACTACGGAGGGAGAAAAAAACATTTATAAAATTGCAAAAATAAGAAAAAAGAAAACAAGAGACTTAACTGAGATTAAATGCATAAAGATGAATATAGGCATGTCTTAGTGGATGATAAGATCACAAAAGATAGGTGAAAATATTATTTCCACAAACTATTTAATGACGTAGATAATAGGGAAACAACACTAGGTGAGTTAGAGTTAAGTGAGAATCATAAAAATTTCACATATTGTTGAAAAATCCAAATTAAAGAGGTTGAGAAAGCTATGCACGAAATAAAAAAGGGTAAAGCCTTGGTCCCGATGATATCCCAATAGAGGCACGGAGATGCCTTGGCGATTTTGGGACTAAGTGGCTTACAGAGTTATTCAACATAATCATGAAGACTAAGAAAATACCTAACCAATGCAGGAAGAGTACATTAATACCCTTGTTTAAAAATAAAGAAGATATACAAAATTGTGCTAATTATAGGAGAATAAAACTAATTAATGTGTCACACAATATAATACTGGGAAAGGGTAATAGAAACTAGGTTAAGGCAAGAGACAAACATAATTGAAAATCAATTTGGCTTTATGCCCGGAAGATCAACAATGGAAGCTATACATTTAATAAGAAGATTATGTGAGCATTTTAATGAGAGAAAACAAGATTTACACATGGTTTTCATTGACCTTGAAAAAGCATATGATAGGGTCAATAGTGATATAATGTGGCGGGTGTTAAAAAAGAGGGGAGTCAGAGTAGGATATATAGAAACAATGAAAGACATGTATGATAATGCAACAACTTGTGCGAGGACTCGCGTAGGGATTTCGGGAGAGTTTCTGATCACGGTTGGTTTGCATCAAGGGTCGGCATTGAGCCCATACCTTTTTGCTTTAGTAATTGATGAAATCACAAAACATTTGCAAGTAGCCATCCTCGAATGCATGTTATTCGCGGATGACATAGTTCTAATAGATGAAACAAGGGAGGGGGTTAATGCCAAGTTAGAGACTTGGAAGGAGGCGCTAGAATCTAAATGTTTTACAATAAGTAAGGCTAAAACGGAATATATGGAATGTCATTTTAGTAACCGTACGAGTAATAACATGGTAAATGTTAAGTTTTGGTTGAACATAAAGTGTGTAACACAGAGGATTCAAACCGGGTGGAATAAATGGCGTAGCGGCTCATCAATACTTTGTGATTGTAAGGTACTATTGAGTTTGAAAGGTAAGTTCTATAGAACGGCCATCCAACCGGCGATGCTTTATGGATCCGAGTGTTGGGCCACTAAATATGAAAATGAACAAAAAATGCGAGTAGCGGAAATGATAATGTTAAGATGGATGTGGGGCCATATTAGATTAGATAGGATTAGAAATGATTGTATTAGAGAGAAAGTAGGGGTAGCTCCAATAGACCAAAAAATGAGAGATAGAGGCTCCAGTTAGGAGGGTAGAACCCATAGAATCAAGAATTCAAATTAAAAGGGGTAGGAGTAGACCTAAGAAAACATGGAAAGAAACTATAAAAAATTATTTGAAACATTTAAATTTGTTCGATGAATTATGTACCGACCGAGCACGATGGCAACATATGATCCATATAGCCGACCCCACCTAGTGGAAAAAATGCTTGTTGTTGTTGTTGTTGTTGTTGTTGTATAATGATGGTAATATTTTAATTATGTGGACTTAAAAAGTACGATTAATATATTTCCTACACTCTAATAAGAGTTTCTTTTTTTTTGTTGCATAATATTTTAAAAAATTTACTAAACTTGCATATGATTGACTCGAAGTTGTTTAGGTATTTTCTTCTCTCCAAAAATTTATACTTAAAAGAGCCAAAAAACACATTTTACAAGAGTTAAATTAATCTCATATTTTGTGTATGTAAGTGAAAATTTTAGATTTCATAATATCAAAAACTTTGTTCTTTTTGTTTGTTTTTTGGTCAATAACTACTTCGTCGTCATCAGAATTTTCCCTAATAATAATTCCTTAGTCAGTTGTACACTAAAAATATTATTAAAAATGAATAAATTATTTAAAAATTTATGAGTATATATACTTTTAAGGATTTTAAACTTTTTACAATATTCTTTTTATTTGTTAGTTATTTTAAAAATATTTATCATAAAATACGATGTGATGGGATTCACTATATATAGGAAAACTACAAATTAGATTATTATTATAAATCTTTTGCATATTGTGACGAGGTGAAGAGTTCAAAAAGTCATGGTTACGAACGTTTCAATGTTTAATGGAACAAAGTCTTAGCGGTGTTTCTACGGCAACAGACGGGAAAAAACTAGGCAGAGGATTGGGATCCTAGTTTTCACTCTCTTTGTTTTTCCTGTTTCCTATTCTTTTAAGACATGGACATTTCAAAACTTCCAAATCCGACTTATAATGAACATAATCAAATCTAGTTTCCAAACTTGTGATTCGCAGGAGTAAATTATTTTTAACCAATTAACCTGATTAGTCATGTCGATATAGGCAAAAATTAATTTCAAGAAAAAAATTACAAAGAAAAATTATAAGAAAGGATTTCAATCATTTAAACTATTTCCTTAGGTTAAATACCTAAAGCCCAAATAAAAAGTGGAAAAAATGAATGGGCGTTTTAACTGTAAAATTTTACATGTACATATCGTCACTCTAAGATCCATCGTGGCATTTTAAATGAAAGTTTAATGAGTAATCCGGAAGTTCTCATTCTCAACTTTTTAATTCCAGTTCCGGCACAAAACTTGAACTTAGTAAATTTTACTGGCTATGTACTTCCGACGCAGCATTTGAATGGCTAATAAACTTTAACTATCCTAAAATTACTATAGATTTGTTATAAATGTTTCTCACCACATTAATACATATATACGATGTATTCAATTTTTCTTAGATTGATTTTCAGTAAACTATCCAATCCAAAATAAACAATTGGACTAGAGATTTTTTCTTAGTTTTATAGTATTAGTTAACTAGATGTTAAACCCCGCACGATGTACGGGATTCATTTGTACACGTTTACACAAAATTATCCCTTTTACCCTATTAAAGCAGAAAACAAGATGCTGATGTGGCAATTTTGTATTAAAAGATTTAGGCTCCAACTGCACCATATTGCATAAACCATTCTGCCACGTGTCACCTCTTTTTAAAAATAAAAATATATTTACAATATTAACGAAGAGATCAGATAGTCATGTTCATTCAAATTTTGAATTTGACAGTGAATGGAACTTTCCTTCTCCACTTATTTAGGACTTTCTAAAAAATTAATTTTCGATCAATCAATTATCTTCATCAAAAACTAAATTCATTCCTAATCAGTTTTGATTATTTACATATTAATTTATTAGGTGGGAAGACGTCCCGGGCATTTGCCCGGGACAAGCATCTAGTTTTTAATTAAATACCCTGTGCACAAATGAAGTTATTGATTTACTGTAATAAATAATATATTGAGTAAAAATAAAAAAATATGTTATCATGAATAAAAATATTGCCTATGTTATGAAATGATAGTTTTATATAAATTGAAAGTAAAAGTTTAAGAATGCAATTAAAAAAAATATTATACGCCTAAAAGTAAATGAGACCGCCATCATAATAAATAAAAATATTTCATGTCATGCAAAATAGAAGTATTTTGCGACTGCAAGGGAATAAAAGACAATAATATGATAATCATCCGCATAAAAATATATTAACGAGGACTTTGAAGATTATAGTTCTGTAAATTTGTGTTAATAATTCTAGTTCCATAATTTTTTCATAATTAGGTGTAATTAATTACAATTATATTTCTTCTTGGGTGATTCAAGTGTCATTTGGAGGACCTAAAGATAATTATATTAAGTACTCCTTGTCGAATAAATGAAAAATTACACCTAAGATTTTGTCCTAGGTGTCACCTTAAAAATCATTTTCATATTCTTTCCTCCGTTTCTCTATTTATATATAGTTATAGATAGATAGATTTTGCAAAGCAATATACTATATGTGAGAAATGCAAAGCTAGGCTTTTGTACTAATCTTATTCAACAAAGTGGATATTTTTCAAGACAAATGAAAATTATACCGGGAAAAACTTAAAAGGAAAAAAACAAAGAAAATAAAAAGGAAAAAGAAGGCCTCAATCCCATAAATAATAAATCATAAATAGTTCATTCATAGTATTATTCTCCCCAAAAGTCTCAAACCTTTTGTAATGTGATAAATAAACAAACAAAAACAAGAAACGAATCACTCATCTTCAGTTTCAGATTCAGCATTCTGAAGCCATTCAATGAAGGGTTTGGAGTTTTCCCAAATTGAGGAATCTTTGTTAGCCTCTGCTGCCAGACCTTCCTGGTACCACTTCAAAATGCACTCTTCCTCCAAGATATCTTCATCGTACAAGGCTTTCAGAACCAACGCAACTTCCTTCACGGCAGCTGAGTTGTTCAGCTTCAAAAGAACTCCTCAATTGCATGAAGAAGTAGCAACTGTCCATTTTCATCCTGGGAAACAGCAACAGCAAAGTAATCCTTTTTCTTCAGAACCTCTTTTCGGAAAACCTTCTTCACACCATCAAGAAGGGCCTCGAATAGAGCAGACATTACTTCCTGAGGGGAACCGGATACGGATGCTAACGCCGACTTCAGTTGGTCTGCAGAAGCAACTCCCTTCTTCAAAATCGCTTTTACATCCTGAAGAATCTTCTCAGGTGAAGTAGCTTTCTGGCGGCCTCCACGAGGTTTATTATTATCTGCTGCCTTTGACTTGCGATCTGTTCCCTCATCAGTTGTAAGCATAACCATATCAGCAGTTACTGTATTCAACTGTTCTTTGATAGTAAGTTTAGCAGCCTTCGATGATGTGTCTATTTGCCACTCAACATCATCATCGTCGTCTTCGTCATTCATACGGCCTCTAGATGATGAACCATGATCATCATCATTACTGGAGGGAACCATCTTCTTCTTTGAGTCTTTCTTCATCTTTTTCTGCTCCAAATCTGCAGACTCCCCTTCATTCAAACGCTCTTGTTCAGCTCTCCGGAATGATCCCTTTTCGGCCTTGGGCGGATTCTTCAGGATGAAGGTAGTGAGCTTATCCCTCATGTCCACATAAGAGATGTTTCCACAAGCCTTACATTGCAGCTGGACCATCTGACTCTTGGTAACGATGATATCCGTCTCCGGGTTCTTGCAATAGTAACACTGGACATACTTCTTGATGAACACTTCAAGAAGTCCAGCCAGTTTAGCAGTCTCATGAGATCCATTAACCTGTGAAGTTCCGGTTTTCTCGATGAATTTGGATATGGCTCCGAGCTGAGTACCGAAATACTTGGTCGGATACGACGGCGGCCTCGCCAGAGCCTTGGCGATGTCGACCATGTTGACAATGTTGGTCTTGATTCCGTTTCCGCGGCCCTCGATCTTGGTGATCATCTTGGGCATCTTGTATCGGTAAAAGTTATCGCTGTTGCCGGAATCGATGTTGAGCAAGTCCTTGTTTTTGTTCGGCGACTCCATATTTTCTTCTTCTTCTTAATGCTCAAAATCATAAAACGGTAGATCCAAACAGCCAAATCGTTCGATAAAACCTATGTTTCTTTTTCCTAGGAAAGTATTCGCCAAGCAATCCAATTGAAATTGTATAGTAAAGCGCTTCTTGGAACATATAAAAAGTTTTGCGTTGACAACTTCGACTGTTTATGCCTGAAAAACCAGATCTAGAACAAATTACTCAGGTGAGCACAGATATTTAGATCTAGGTAGGGTTAAACAGATTAAATTACGTTGGCAAAGAGACCAAATTACAGTTGAAAGCTGATGGAACCTGGAGGCGATTTCCGAATATCCTTGCGCTTCTGAGACTGAAATCGATCGAGAGAGATAGAGAACAGTTATGTCGGCAAAGAGAGGACGTATACGGCCTCCGGCGATGTAAAAGCTAGGGTTTTATATCGAGAGTGCTAATTGTAAAGAAATAATAAAAGGAAAATTTACGAGAACAATAATCTGGATATGCGAAAGCTCCACATATTTAACCAGACCTTTTCCCAAGTGAAATCCGAATTGGAATGGGCTTCAACGTCATATTTTAAAAAAGAAGAATATATATTTGCTTTTACTTATTTGATTTGGTTGATTGAAATATATTGAATGTTTTAGTATTCCTCTAAAAATAATTATTTCAAAAATTAAGCCTGAATGAATTAGGAAATTGAATTATTTGCAATAATTTTTCCTTTTAATTTAATCAAAAATTAAAGACAAAATCATTCTGAAAAAATTAAGGACAAATTTTGTTCCTTTTCTTTTTCTAACTTGAAAAACATGAAGGCAGATTTCTTATTTTTAATATTTTTGAGATGAAAACAATCTAATGGAGGATAAATTATTCCTCCTCTGTTCCATAACTATTGTCTAATTTAAAATTTCACTTTTAATATAATTTAAACTAAAAATCAAAATCTAAACTGGACAATAATTTTTGGACGGAGGAAGTATTATATAGCAATCGAGTTTTTATCATGAGTTACATGTCTTGTGTACTAAATCAATGCATAATTTTTCCTTATCGGGGCAACCATGGTGCGATCGTCGTGTTGAATATTTCCTCTTATATTAAGATAGTGCATGTTTATTGATTATGCATCCTCCGTTGCTTCAAATTATCCTTTCTTTTTTTGCAAGGCCGAAAGTTGGTGGCTTCTGGCATTTTACTACTAATAATATTCAGATCCTTGTTCCAACGATTGATGATTAGTGAACAAACCTTTTATCCTGTTAGTCACTGGCAACGCTTAATTCAGCAACAGAGATTGTCTTTGCTTTCCTACCGCCATACATGCACTTCATGAACCATGAATATCTTCTTATAGTAATCCCGAATTTCATTATTTTGTGGAAAAAGATAATAATCAAAATATATATATATATTGTATATGTGTGTATATATGTATATTGTACATGTGTGCGTGTGTGTGTATATATATATGTACCCTATTAATTTAAAAGATTAAATGAGAAGAAGTGATGGTGGTCGCGTTCTCATGAATAGTTTTCCCTTCAAAAAAAAAACTATGTTGTTTTGGTTCAACATAAATCTCTATTATATTATTTAAACAAATACCAAAGAGAAAATGAAAGATACATCAAACTGTAATTAAAATTTTCCTTGCCCTAAACATATCAAGTCAATATTACGCAGTTTTCATTTTGTTGAAAAGAAGGCCTCAAAATAAATAAATTAAAAATTAGCTTATATTAAAATAATTATTCGAGAGAAAAATTTTAAAAAGCATTATTTGTGCTTCTATATGACCTTTTTCACCACTAAACAAATTGCCACCATCGCAATGTTTAAATTGGGAAAAAAAATATTGAAAGTCCATAGAATTCCAAAATAAACTGTTCCCTTATTTTCAAATTCAGAGGCTCTAATATAATCTTATTCTAACATTTGTAAGAGAGAAAATAAAATTTATGTGGCAGCGCACTAGGAAAAATTTAGCGCACGAGGAAAAATGTAGTAATAATAAATGGACTACTTGAATTGTATAATAATAATATTTAACTTTGGCAGGTGCCAAGAATGTAGAAAAAAAGGTGAAAAGGAAAATTGTGGACAAGCAATCTATAGTATTGTACTAAGAGAGAAACAGAGAGAGAAAACAAAAAATAATTCTAAAGGTGCCACATAGGATAAAATCTTATGTGTCATTTTTCTAATGGTTGAGTTAAAAAATATTTACAACGATTATACTAATAGTCCTTCAAATTTTATGTAAATAAAGTTTTATCAAATGAAATTTAAAACTATAGTTCAAAATAAGAAAATAAAAATTAATTAAATTCAATGGACGAGATTAATGAACATTGATGCACCAGAATTATTCCCTCCCAAAAAGAATCCCCTAAGTTACTACTGGACTCATTGAATTAATCTCTCTAAAAAACAATTCCCTCCCAATCATGTAAATCAATAGACTACAACTAAAAAAAAAAAAATACCAATCATTCAACATTAATGTTATCTTTAAAATCTTCTCCCAAAAACATGACCATGTATTTTTCGCCAATAAAAAAAAAGGTACAAAATTTGCCTTTAATTATTACTAAAAGGATGGGATTTAACTATAATTAAATGTTACCTTTTGAATTTCAAACCAATGCATTTATTTGTATAATATCATATCTACCCAAATAAATATAATCTTTCCTTAATAATATCTCAAAAATTGTTATAAACTTTATCTTTATCACTGAAATTTTAGATAATCAATTATCATCAATCCCAATTTATCTCTATTTATACATGCCACACAAGCCATGAGTATCTCTATTTACAAATTTTATGTAAATAAAGTATTATTAAATGGCATTTAAAACTATAGTTTAAAATAGGAAAATAAAAATTAATCCTTATACTTAATATAAAGTCATAGTAGGCAAGAAATTAAATGCCCAAGAAATATTCAAGGACCACCTTTAAAGCGATCTCGTCCGTCGGATGGGGTTGATTTGACATCAGCGACTTATTAAGGACAAAATCGAAATTTCATAAATATAGTTCCTCACTAAATTTTAAATTAAAACCGGAAGCTTTTAATACAGTTTCTCACAATATTAAGTCAAATATTAAGTCACTTATTAGGGCAAAAACGAAATTTCACAAATTCAGTGTACTGTTTGGTTCGTTTTTTCGTTCATTTTTTCAGAATTTTTAATTAATATCTATCCCATCCCAACATATCTTTTTACATTCTCAATACACTTTTTTAGATTTCCAATATACCTTTTTACATTACCAATACAAAAAAAATACACTCAGCGACTTATTAGAGGTAAACAAAAAATCATAAATACATCTCAATCCAAAAAAAAAAAAAAAAATCCGTAAGCTCTTGAGAAGAAAACCCTAATCATCCAAAAAAAGGACGTCGTTTTGCTTCTCCGTGAGATTTTGTGGTGAAAAACCCCAACCGATAAAACGACATCGTTCTATACTTCTCACTAATCATAACAAAATCCCTCATTTGCCCTCGTCATCCACCTTGTTTGCCTCACCCAGAAACATTTATATAAAAGAAAAACCCAAAAGGCTCCGCCTCCACTGCCACCCAAAAAAACTCGACGTTCACCTCATCTTTCTCTCCACAAAAAAAAAAAAAACTAAGACAATGCTTTCTCTGCCTACACTGGCACCCATCACCGTTCGTCGTCCTCCTTATTACCACAAAAACCACATTCGGCATCAGATCCATTACGTCAAGCCGCCGAAGGAGAACAACGGCATCAGTTGTCGAACAACCATCTTCACTAAAATTGAACTTCCTCTGAACAAGAAGAAAACAATCGCCGAATTTTTCAAGTAATCGAACTTGACAGCGTCGTCAGAATTAGGAAATTCGTGTCTATGAATATAGATTTGGAATACAAATCGAAATTTATGAATCTAGATTTGGAATACAAATCGAAAATTCTCCGAATTTGTATACGGATTAAAAATCTATGAGTCGGGCTCTTCTCTTTCAAGCTGAAGTCTCTTACGCATGAATAAGCTAGATTAACAACACTGGATAAACTCGGACTACCGGTTGCAGCAAACTTCATCCAACACCTCTTCTTTCCACTTCATCCTACTTCATTTTCTCCACGATTATTGTAAGCTTCTTTTGATTAAAAAACTATTCTATTATTAGGGTTGTTCTGTTTTTGTGCAACATCGTTTTTTTTCCATATGTGCTATGAACTTTTTACAGTTGTTAATCGTTATTGTAATTCCAAAAGATCCTCCTTTTATATTTTTGGTTTAGATTCTATGGATTGCGCCCTTTTAAGCAGATGGAGGGCTTCTCGGGGACAACCAGGTGGTGGTTTTAAGCGATTCTGTGAATTTGGCGGATGGCATCTTTCTGCTCACCATCGACAACAACAACCGCTACCTCTTCATCAACCTGCACCGCCGCGTGGTGCTCTACAGGATCAGCTTCAAACACCACGTCGCCACCGCCAAATTCAGCCCCGACGGCAAGTTTATCGCAGTAACTGTTGGTAAGCTCCTCCAAATTTGGTGCTCCCCTGGGTTTAGAAAGGAATTTTTCCCGTTTGAGTTTATTAGGACATTTTCAGAAAATTGGAATTTGATTTTTCTGATATTCACAATTTAAAACATCTGCAATATTTGGTCCAAGTAGATAGGCATGACTTTCATCTGATATGTTGCCTTTCAATAAGGAAAATGTATTTCTTTACGCATTGTGGAGATTACGAAAAGGCGATAGTTCATCATTTGTCTTATGCGGGAGTTAAAAGAGAGGATTTTGAAGTTTGTGGTGCTGAATTCTTACATTGTGAGCACACATGAATCGGGGTAATTTGCACTCCCTATATTATCATTTGATAAAGATTTGTAGACCATAATCTTTTGAGTTTTACAGTCGTTTGCCCTGAAAATAATTTTTATTTTGGTTCAGAGCTGCATTGACATTGGTAGTTATATCTACATATGCGTGCATATCCATGAGATTTTTTGTCATATTCTATCATCATATTTGATATTTTGGTCTTTTATGATTTTAATGGTCAATTTAATTCGGTTAATTGATTTCGGTTTTATAAATTTAAAATTTGATGGCTACTTTGGTCCCAATTGGTGTGGTTTACTCCTTCGGTTTTGAGTTTCTTGGATATCAATTTAGTTTAGTAGATTAATGCATACTTTTATAATCAACATGGGTCGTTAAGTTCTTTTCTTATTCTTTAGACACAATTTACTTAATTTGTCAGGTTCTCCATCGTGACCTTATTCTGCGACTTTAGATTGATCTTACCCGCTAAATTTACTAAATTTATTGCTAACTTGCTAAGTGATTTAAGATTTTCTTTCGTGTTGTATGTGTCGTTAGGACTTAGCAAATATATGTTTGCTTTGGGCAATATCGTTTCTTTGATCTAGAATTATTGTTTTTATAGTCAATTCATCTGGTCATACATATCCCATCTTTTGAACCAAGTGATCTCGTTGCTTGGGGAACAGGATTGGCATTACGTACGAGACGTCGTTTGCGAGGTAGA